ACCCTGTCGGGAAGCCGTACATCGCTTTGGGCATCAAGCGCCAGGAATTCCTTATCCATCGCAACAAGAAATCGCTACCTCGCTGTACTGCTCGACACCCGATGCCATCTGTGAATCTGCAGCGCGTTTGTTGTTTATCTCAGTAAAGTGGGCGCGAAATATCCCTTCGTTTGTGAATTTGCCGTTTAGAGATCAAGTTATTTTGCTGGAGGAAGGCTGGAGGGAGTTATTTATCATGGGAGCCGTCCAGTGGAACATGCCTCTCGAGGTAGCACCTCTCCTGGCCGCGGCAGGAATGCATGTGGATAACACGCCTGCGGAAAAGATTGTCGCTACTATGGCCGATATTCGTATGCTGCAAGAAATCAGTGCGCGATTTCGAAGTCTTCAAGTTGGCGAAGCGGAGTTTGCGTGTTTGAAAGCAGTGGTTCTTTTTAAATCCGGTGAGTTGATAGAATTTAGCATCAGAGCTTTAAAAAGAATATACTGCCTTTTTTTATGTTTAATTTGTCCCATTCGTCGTGGTCAAGCTGATGTGCATCTCACAAAAAACTTGAATAAATAAGAAATCATATCGTCATTTCACTAAAATCCGCATTATAAATTCCCCCCGAATAATCTCTCGTAGGAATATATTCTATAGCAGTTTTTCGAAAAAAAATTATATTCACATGTCTTACGAGATGTAAACAGGACATACATTATGAAGTATTGAAGAAAAGTACTGCTTCCAAAAGTTATTATTTAAATGTGGAAGTTTTTAATTTTCATGTTAAGCAAAACTTTTATTCTACTTGGTGATGGCACAAAACAGAAGAATATTAAAACCATGCTTTGTATACTGTTTTTGACACGTTTTTAAAGAAAAACAACGAAGCAAAAGGTACAATAGCTTATCATACGCCTCAGGTTCATTGAGGTCTTTATCTTGTGATGGATTGGGTTTAGAAAGCATTTACACTGAGTGCTTGTAACAGAAATGGGCGTTCTTGTTCTTAATGGTCTGACCTTTCTTAAAACCCCACTAATGATTCAAAATTAGAAGTCTTGTATTTTGAAAGTAAAATTTATTCTAGAAACAAGTAATCTATTTGGAACTCCACACGAGCACATGTTGTGTAGGTCGGAGTCGCGCGCTGCTAACCACTTAGATTAAAACGCCAAGAAGATTAGCCTCGTGTAGGGAGTTTTTTAGTTCTTCTTTATTAACTGTGCGTATCAATAACCATATCATAGAAAAATCAAAGCCGCTTAATTTACGCTAATTACAATACGCTTTGCTGCGCGCAACAAGCCTACACTGCTTCTCATTTATAATTAAAAGAACCATTTCTCTATGATTGAATTTCTTAATAAGACTGTGTGCTTCAGTTATTGAAATATGCCTAATTACGACCGTAGTGAATTTCTCGTATTAACTTTAATCAAATATGAAACTTATACTCTTTCATATTTATGATGTCGCAGAAACCCCATCTGACTTGTTATCTGCATCGAATAATTTTGCCTTTAAATATAAAACATTAAGTCAGGCGGCCTGAAATCTAGCTTTCAATTTATTTGTGACCAATTGCGAGAGTTTTAGGATCTTCAGTGCAACAACGCGTGTTTTTGTGAGAAACTTGAAAACATATGAAGTTTGTTTTTTATATTTGTCAAATAGTTTAGAGTCTCGTTATTCCACTGTCGGAGTTCGAAGTTTCTTCAAAGGACTTCAAGTTGACGTGGGTTTGAGAGGATAGAGATTATAACAAAGTGCTTAATGGAACATACCGCAACAAGACAAATTGGTACTCGAATGGAGTACTCTAAGATTACCATCTACAGCCTGCAGTCCAAAATTGGGCGGCATTGTAAAGGGCAGGTATTTGATGTTTACACACCACAAGCTCTGAATAGAAAACAGTTGTTACCAGACAAGGAAAACACTGAAAAATTTAAATGCGTATAGTTTTCTATTCCTGCCCTTTCTTCTGTTGCATGCTCCTAGCATATGGAAAAACAATCGAGAAGGTATGAAATATTTTCGAACTTTCGAATATCAAAACACTTTCGAATCACTCAAAGCTTAAATAGTTCTGGATATATCAAATCTACTTTTTCTATATATCACAGGATTGGAGGAAATCCATGACGCAAAAATATCGATTTTCTTCTAAAAGTGCATTATAAAATGAATGTCTCTGTATCGATACATAATATCTAACAATGCTAAATAATGAAAGTTCTCGTCTTTAGTGTCTGTGGCTTGAAAGCAACGTGACGGATATTTTTACTCTGCGGTTTTCCTAAAAACAGGTGTTTCTTGGAGAGTAATTCAATAAAAAAATAATCTGGGATCATTTTACCACCCGTCATGCTTCGAATGTCAAGTTTTATTCGGTAATATGTCCAATTTACTGCTATTCTGACCCAACTTACCACGTTACTGAGTAAGTCACGATACAAGTCGGTAAAAATCAGTGATTTTATTAAAGCTTTTTTATGACTTATTCATTAACTTTCAATTGACACTGTTTTTGAAACGTTTTAGACACGTCTTAGGAAAGGAAAACTTTACAGGAATGCCGAAATGAAGCTGGACATAACATGATACACCCGTAAACTCGAAAAGTGGGTTGACTTCCCGTGGCTTAATCAGCTGAAGGGTAGCATGATGAGGGAAAATAAATTTGGTCTGTCCTCTTCTTCAAATCTTAAAGAGCAAGAGAAAACTCACTCCCTAAAAGTTTTGTTCACATGATTTCTTTACGTTTGTTTATCTGAAAGCTCGGTCGTCAAATGAAGGTTGACCTGTTTTCTTTACATAGGCATACGGGCAACTGAGTGAATATACTAGGAAATATTTTTGTTTTTACATCTCTCGTGACATTAGGCGATGTACATACAACACTATGTTCCTCGTTCCTAGATCGTTGTTGACTAAGACTAAAAAAGCTCTCATGAAGTAAATAATCCTTTACATATACATGGCTAGTGTCCCACAAAGAACTTTAATTTATTAAAATTTTGTAATTGCTCTCATACACGGTACTCCTTGGGCGTTTCATTGTGTATAACGATATCAAATGTTGTGGTCAACTCAGTTTTGAGCGTCAATGAAATCAGTGGACACCGAGTAAAACATCACGTTCTATTCAAGTAGCTAGCCTATCACACAGCTTGTTAAGCCCGTCCGAAAATTCACTTACTCATTCACTATTGCACTAAAATATTACTGTGAATTGTATGAGAATTCAAGTCACGAGGACAACTTATCCGACTCGCAGGGTTAAGCCAAATATGAAAGATGCACGCCTCAAACTTGCTTTAAACCATCTGTTAACCTCCCTCTGGGTCAATGAAAGTGAATTTTTTTTAAATTAACAACATATCTTGGTATACCTTCCCTCCATATGTTAAAACATCCCTTCCAGATAATCTTGCATCTCCCCCCGTCTACACTAATCTTTAACCAACCGTTCCGTCCTCGCTGACAAAAGTTTTTTCCCCCTAAAAATCAGAGCTCAGAGGACTGCGAGATCCACAGCAAGTGGAGTGCTATCAAGACCAAGCACAGATCATGCTGGGAGATTACATCAGGAGGCACTTTCCTGGTCAGCAAGTTCGCTTTGGGAAGCTTCTCTTGATGCTGCCGTCCCTGAGGATGGTGAATCCTAAAACTATTGAAGAACTGTTCTTCCGGCAAACGATCGGGAGCGTGGCTATTGAGAGCTTGCTTTGCGACATGTTCAAGTCAAGCTGAACAGGACTCGTTCATAGATCGATAACCAAAATACGAGCGCTTACGTAGAACAAAGACAACCTATACCACATTAGCTGCTCGGTCGAAGTGACTTACTTTTCGAAAGTTGTATGGTTTTTAAGATTGTATCATACTAGAGATGGTAACCTTTACAAGTCATGATTAGTAAATCGTAGCCACATTCACTTTTTCGTTTATAGAATATAAATCGGCTCTTGAAAGAACATTGACCGTAAGTTAACAAACAATTAATTAATATAAGCTAGGAAATAAAACGCACTTTTGCGCGTTCTTCTTGTGGCAACTGAAAACACAGAGAGTTGTCCATAGAGAACACATGAAGTCATTGAAGGACAACTTACGAAAATCAATGTTCTTCGATAAAGAATACAACTTTCAATTTTCAGGAGAGATAAAACCAATCTTTAATTTAGAGTAAGGACATGACTGAAGGCTTCTTTAGCAAGCTTTGGATATTCGATGATAACCGACGGTGCGCACTTGCGGAAACATTGTACAACCTCCTCTACTGAAAAATAGACTGAAACTGATGTAGATTTGTATTAAAGTGAGAAATCTTTACATTGCTTGTGCTCTAGTTGTGTTTCAGTGTTAACCATTTAACTCCCATGATAGAGCGATTGTAACCTGAGAGTCGCAGTCAATCCGTGTTTGCATGGGATTTGCTTCCCCCTTTTGATTGGTCAAAAAAGTTCGCAGCAATATCTCAACCTATCAAATGCAAAACCAGACCAACTGCAACTTGGTCACCCGCGTTTTCCCGCGCCTCAGGCAATTGGCTGTTTCTTTTTTTTTCGTTTCAGTTCCTGGTCTCGTTAAGTAGACTCCTTGTTCTGATTGGACGTTAGGATTACTTTTCCTTGGTTTTACGACGCTTTATCGAAAAGCTCTATGATAAGTAAATCTCCCTTAGACCTACCATATGTTTCCTAGTTTGGTGTTTCACCACGACAACAAACGTTGGTTCATAAGTTATTTTCTTCACAAGTGGATTATTTATCTTTTTCACTAGGAATCCGCTTTTGAACAAGTAAAACTTACGCTGATTTATGCGCCGAAGTGTGAAACAGCTCGTGATATTTTCCCCGGTCGTTTCTTGGCCCTTTTCAGGGTTACTGGTCTTTCGAGTTAATCTTTGAGAATGGAATTCAATTAATCGGATAGGAATAATATTCAGTATAAACACTGGTATGACCAAACTGTGTTCTCGATATGTCTCAGGGATGAAGTTGCATTTTCATTAGTACGCAAATATCTTTAATCAGTGCTACAACTACCGATAAAAAAAGCATGCAATTTACAGATTGTAACAAATCTTGGTATTATCGCTTAATAAACTAATCTCTACACGGCTGTGCTCTTTTTATAGCTTTAACTGTTTTTGGCTACAGCCATTAACTATCAATGATTATGGGTAGACTCTTCATTTCATTGCTGAAAACAATCTTACAAATCAACACCTTAAGCAAAACGTTTCAATAAAAAAAGAGAGCGATGTGAAGAGGTAAATATCAATTTGAGCATAAATGACTTTGCTTGCAAAACAAGAGAAGTTTTCAACTTGCAACAAAACCAGTCATAAACTATCCCATCGCAAAGCAAAGTGACCTTCACTCAATGAAAAATCCTCACGGCTATGATTAACAGAGCATACATTGCCGTGGGCATGGAGGGAGAATTTCCTCCACTTTTGGGATTCGGGCCACCTCTGCTCACGTGCTTATCACATGTATCCTGTTTACTCTCACTCAAACATAGGGCGTGATCCATCACGTGAAAGACATACGGCTGTTCCACTACTCCATGGAATAAGTAAGCACCAGGTCCGTCTGCGAAAACCCCTGGAAATACGACAAGACAAATTACAACTACTCTCTATAACCTGTTTAGTAGTTGAGGAGTTGAAAACTGTTACCCCTAAGTTCATACGTAATCTGTGCTAGTTTCCTTTTTTCGGTAGGCCGGATCGCTTAATTAACTCGAGAAATTCCGCAAAAAAAGAGATCGTCACTAATTGGTTAAATCCTCACGTTTTGACATTTATCTGAGGTTGAGTCCGTTCTGCCTCAACTCCGAAAGGAAAAAAGAGATCATGACTTACCAAGTTTAAAAAGGCACATGACTACGAGGCGACTTCTGACTAGTTTAGTTAGTTATTTTATCGGCATTTCATGTGTTTAACCAAGAAGTGACGAAAGTAGATTGACTGCTCGCTTCAAAATTTCAATCTTTCTCAAACGATGTCATATCAAGAGTAGGACTCATTCTTCAAGCAGATCAGAAATGCCGGAAAAAAACGCAAAGTTTTGAAACTTTGTAAACCTTTGTAAATCTAAAAAGAAAAACACTACGAAAACATTAGGAAACGGTGATGTAGGGATAGGCATATTTTTCAACAGAAAAAAAATTTGGTGTCAATTGAACTTTTCAGGCAACTTTCTACGACGCGTACTATGACTTACATGTACCAGGAGAGGGGAAAAAGTGGGCTAAGGTGTTACTTTAACCCTACGACTCCCATGAGTGACCAAGACAGAATTTCTCCTAACAATATCAATGCAATATCAAGCAAGCAAGTGATGAGAATAAAGAAAAGCATCAATCACGTGACTGTTAGTGGATCCAATACCAATACGAATACTGAATTCTTCAAAAAAAACCATCATAATCAGACAGTTGGGAGAATCACTAGTGAGATCTTGGAGTGAGAGAGCTAAGAAGAGGTTTAAGCTTGATCGTTTCTTGCCAACTCTAATTCTTACCAACATCTTCGGATGCATGACTTTCATAATCAAGGAGGACGGTAGCTTGCTGAAGGAAGTCTTTGGCTTCTGTGTCTACATCGCGCAAGTCTGGGCGGGAACCATTCAATCCACCGGGACCGTCGAAATACCCAAGGGAGGTATATGTCTTACCGAAGGTATCATTGGCTACTTTACCGTCTACCTGTACCTGTACACCCAGCACAGGGTTCCCACGCTTTGTATAGCCACCGATTGTGAAGACGTGGGAGTGATCAGCGGTCACTGTTATCAGGGTGTCTTCTAAAAGAAACAATTTTCGAAACAAGAGCGAAATAAAGCAAAACCATTTTATTTTTGGATTTGAACTGGGTTCAATGAAAAAGGCAGACTCTCTACTTCATGATTGTTAGAGAGTTTTCTGTTCAAGTCTCACTAGATATAAAAAACTCTCATGATAAGAAGTAAAACTTGACCTAAATTTCTAGGAGCCACATAACAGCATTGTTGTTCATGCCACCACAAAACTGCTGAAAATGTATACTATGTGTCTGTCTCAGGCTAATAAGAGGTCATAATTAATAGCAAAGCAAAGTGAGCTTAGAATTCTGCAGATTCACCTGTCTTCACAATATCCTTCGCTTTTTGAACTGCTTTGTTGAATGCGACGGATTCATGAAGTGCATTATAGGCCGAGCCATCATGGTGTGCATGATCAATGCGCCCCCCTGTGGATAGAAAAGAGAACACGATAACTGAGCTTAATGCAAATTTTTGTCTAAAACAGGGAAGTGAAATAAAGGCACTCTATCGTAAACAAGGTCTGGTTTTTAAGCAACCTTGTTTCCAGTTTACACGTGATTTCTCGCATGCGTTCAGGATATAGGGTGGTTTAGATCAATTTAATGTCGATTTTTAAGGCCGAGAAATCTACGTTTATGCAATGAGACATGTATACCTTCGACTAAAAGAAAGTATCCCTTGGGGTTCTTTTGTAGTATTTTGATGGCTTTTTCAGTCATCTCTGCAATTGACGGCTCTCCAGGTGTACTGGAGGCGGTTCGATCTGATTCGTACTGCATGTGAGAAGGCTCAAAGAGTCCTGTAACAAAGAAGAAAGAATAAACCTTTTCTTTATGCTAATCTTACTATTTTACCACTAGGATTGAGATGCATTACCTCGTGAGTATTTTTGAAAAAAAAAAAAGAAAAAAGGTTATTGATAATAAATAACTTAACGAAAAATATAACACACAGTATCCACATAAGCGCCACTTCTAAATGTACCATTTCCCTCAACAATTTTCGCCCCAATTCTTATATCCTTCAAATTGTTCTATTTGGTTTTCTGTTGGGAGAAAGCTTATGTATAACTGCGGGTCAGAGAGTATTTTGATGACGTTTTTTTTTTGATAGTACTAGTGATACGACCATAAGGCAATGTCTGGAAAAACGGATTCAGAAGACGTACCTAACACGCGATTAACCTTATTCGCGTCAATCTTGTCGAAGGCAGTTTTGTTCCAAACGTACTGTGAGTCGGGATATTTCTCCAGCCACTGTTTAATCAGATCTTTGTTATCCTGCCTGTCTCCTTTCTTTTCCGGATACTCTGGATCTGACTGGTTTTTGTGCATAAATTCCCGCCGTCCCCCAGCGAAGACAACCTCTATACCATTACCGTGAGGATACTCGACAAGCTGCGTTGCTTGAGAAAGCATACAACAAAAAAATAATTTAATTGTGAAAAACTAGAGATGTGTATTATGTGTGGAATAAAGAATACTTAAAGGTTTTCTGTGAGAATTTGAGCCTCAGATCTTCCAGTTTCGCGACTTCACCACACTGAACAAGAACGTGGACTTCAAGCATCTTCAGGAGGGACAAAACCACCACGTCTTATTCATTTTCAATCTTTCCCTAAGGGAAAAAACGCAGTGACCGTGACGGATCATTCGCACGGTTAATAGTACCTCGCTGTAGACTTTGACGACTTTACTATCTTACACCCCACCAAATGCATTTAAATCTACAACAAATCAACAGAACAAATGTCAACCATAGCATTGCATCCCAAAAATTGAACCGCTTCATAACGAAACGAAGCCGTCAAAGTAGCTTAATTACTTTGAAAATGGAACCTTTCAAGACAACGCCGGGCGTGTGCACAGTGGCAACAGCAGGCACTGTCCTTAATAAATAGTTGACGTCACTGCTAGTCGTATTTTATTTCCTACCTAGGTATGCTGACCTTGGAAGACTGGTCTTTTTGATATAGTCTCCCTTAAAGCAACTTAAATACAATCTCATTTATTTACCGATATCTTTGCATGTGGTTCCATCATCCTTTGATTTGATGTCTTTGTCACTTTCCCAATCTCTATTAACTGAGTGCGCGTAAGAACTCGCGGGAGTCGCGTGAGTGGCTCGTGTGGAAGTAACGATTCCCGTGGACATCCCAGCCCTCTCGGCGAGCGTCAGGATCGACACAACTTTACTTTTCTCAGTCATAGTTTTACAGTAGCTTTTTTTCACAGATTCGTCTACACCGAGAACTCCTGATAGAGAATCGGAGAGAATAAGATAAAAATGTTGAAAGAAAATTACCATTTTGATTATGGATGAGGTCATATCTAACAAGTGGAACAAAGGCCAGCTATGCATTCCCCAACAATATTCAACCCTTGCGATGGACTAGCATCCCACCCAAGGGGAGGGGGGTTTACTCCTAGTCGCTTCGTATTAAGGAAAACGGGATAAGCTCCGGGTGGGTGGGCCACTTTACCTTTATACTTATCAGTGGGTGATCCAGTTTCACATGATCATATATAAATCAAATACAATTCATATAGGGGTGTATTCTTCTTAGTTGTCGTGTTTTTGTGTTTCTGAGTCTTTCTCCTGCGCGCCTTAAGCAATGTAAGTTGCTTTCTCTAAACATTCGGACCCCTCTGAGAAGAAATTCCTTACAGCGACTACCCTTTTACAACAGCATTGTTCCTTAGTTACAAAGCTGTTAATCCAAACTATTGACTTTAATCGCAACCTCCAAAAGAAGTAAAAGGCTAATGTTCCACGGAGGGCAATTGTTTTTCTCAGGGTGAGGAGTAAGCTCCGACGCATACAAGACTGACTGACGCTTATCCTAATGTCCCCAGCACGCCGCACTTCAGAGTACTACCACTCCTCCTGAATAAAAAGGCTGTTCTATCACAGGTTCCTTCGGCCGAATTCGTCTGTTATTCCTAACTAATTACCCTTTACCACTGCGTTACCCATTTGCACGGATCCTATGGGAAAGGAGCATTATAGGGGGATAAAAAGAATTGCCTAAGAACACAACACAATAAGCTTGACCAGAGTTCGAACTTGGACCTTTGCCATCTGTGGTCCAGCATGCTTATCCAACGTAAGTAGAGTGTCTTCTACCTTTGCTCCATGTCGCTTGGTTTGTTCCATCATCAAATTTGGTCACCTACCTTCGTCTGTCTTTACGCCGTTCAGAAAAGCTGTAGCAGAACTTGCCGAGTCTGTTCCCTGCATGTCAACGGTATATGTCTTTGCCAGAGCTGACCAGGGAAACACCTCCCAGCTCAAAACATTTTCCTCCCCATACTTCATATTCTTCTGCTGCCCATCAAAGATGCGTGCAGCGGTGATGGTGCTGATACCCATTCCGTCGCCCAAAAACAGAACTGCGCTCTTGGCAGTGTTTGTGTTCGGTTTCACCTTGAGATTGTCCTTAATAAGCTTGACACCTTCTTTATACCAGGGATTGTTGTCTTGATTTGCAAAAATATCACCGTTTACGCCTCGATAAAATAACAAAAAAACAATGAACATTACATTATGCATTGCGTACCTAACTTCTTAAGAAGCCCATATCCGTTGATAAAACAGATCCTTGACACTCTTATGATTTGTTTATTTTTACTATAATTTCCCGCGCAAACAATGGCCAATCAGAACGCTATCGACTTATTATCGAGCTCTATGTGAGAATAAAACAGGTCTCCACAGTTTATAGACCCGCACGATAGAGAACCCTAAAAGATTATATAGGAGTTTTTTTTTAAAAAAAAGGCCTCCAATGAACGAATCGATTTAAGTCTTACTCACTGGCTGGAGAGAGCTAAACATCAAATGATGTAGGAACTTATCAGCGACTTTTCCAAGACTGACTCGTTGACATAGACGCTTTCCCATGCAAAGTTTTTACTTGATATTCATAACATTAGTAAACAAACTGCGGCTCGTTTTCGGTTCGGAAATTTATGCACGAGTAAGTTACGAAACCTTTGAACTCTAATGATTTGGTTGATAATCCTCCCTTCCGGCTTTAACAGGTTGCTTCTAACTTAGTTAAGAGAATTTGAAGACTTTTGCTGGATGATGTGTTGAAATCGCGAGTACAAGTTACATGTTAAAAACCCATCTTAGGCCTCTCCGAGTAAAAGGGTTCAGTTAAATTATGTCTACCATAGTCAATGCCTTTTATTTATACAATTTTACTTCTTCATTATTCGGCTGGCTTAACACGAGTGGGTATGATGAAGCAAGTCATGTGTTATTGGCCTCCGAGGCTGGAAAGATGGGCTTATCTTGCACATTCGAGATTTCTCGCCTCTTTCCCGCAAAGCAAAACTCTGTGTTTTAATCTTTTCAGTGGTCAGTATCCATATTGGTAAATCCTTGTAACCACAATAGAATTTTTTTGGAGTTTTTAAGGTCCGAGAGGAGGTCGGTGTTCATGACAACGTTTTGCTGAGTCACTAATTCACATGCATCACGCCACCGTCGCCCCACTCTCTGTTCACGTGAAACAGAGGGCGATGTATACGGAAATTAGTCCTGTTTTTTATCAGAAAGCTTGTGGTATAATTGTTTACCGATCCAACTTCAAGTTGTTATGCAAAATGATGACGTCGTTAACCTAAAGGAGTCGTAAAGTGGTCTAGACTTCGTTCTAGAATTCTAGACTGAACTCAACTTCATATCCGTAAAATGCTGTGTAATAAATAAGCACCAATCAATAAGGATGTTACTCGTTTCACGGGAATTAATTTAGAGCCCTTGCAATAACAATGTGTAAAACAAATTGATCACATCCTTGTCGTTGGCTGTTGAATTCCAAACCTTCAAACAAATTTACTTTTGATATCTTACGTCGATCACTACTGTTTATATTACAAGCTGACGTGGGTTGTAAACGATAGGCGCGATAAACTAATACAAAATACTTGACTCTCTGTTTGTTGCGTAGTAACTTCACCTGCAGGATATCATTTCAGATCCAGAGTGAAGTCCACATCAAGCTGATAATATATGGTGCTCGGGAATAATAATAATAGATTTGAAATAAGAGAACAAAATTATGTCCGTCGAGGATTATACCATTTTTATACCAGAGCATTCCGTTGGACAAATAGATCACATCCTTTTTAGCATAAACAGGCGAGATCTGCCTACGTGCGCCCTTCGAAGACTAGTGTACTTGCCTAACTCCTATAAAACGCTTATTACAATTGATATATCGCTTTAAAACAACCAAAAATCATCAAAATCAGTGATGAAAAACTTTTCCTTTTTTCCATCTAGATTTTCTCAGGCTTAAAGCCAAGTTAAAGTTGATCGAAGATCAATTTTAGTACCGTAATAAAATCACGACCGGAACAAATTTGTTGTCGTGGTTCCACGGGCTGCAACAGACGTGCATCCGAATCAAATCATGCTGTCCTACCTTGAACTGTTGTTAATTTTGATCCATTTTCGTCAGACGTCAAAATAAAAATTATAGCCACGACGAGAAGCACTCCTGAGGAAACTTTCATCTTAAGTTCCGAGATTGGCGTCCCTTTATACTTTTGATTTATTCGATCTGACCTCTCTCTCTCAATTATGTTCTTTTAAAGCACAAACAGGTGTCATTGTTACGCGAAAATGTGCACGTGTTTTAAAGAATTGTTCAGTCGGCGAAAAATGTTTACTACAATGAGTGACCAAGACAGAATTTCACGTTACTATATCTATACAATATCTTGCAGAAAAGTGATGAGGATAAAGAAAAATATCAATTACTGGATTACTAATACCAAATTCTTCAAACTAGCATAATGAGAATCGTTTGGCAGACAGTAAAGAGCATTACTAGTGACATGGAAACAAATTAGTCAGAAATTAATATTCTGATGGCACTTTGAAGAGATTCGCGCGGCATCATGAACGTTTCGAGCGTTTCGCGGGAAAATTAAATCAATCTCGGTCGGTCAGTCTAATGTTAAACCACTTTTTTTTTAGTATTTGTTGTAATTTTTAATTTAAAATATATTTACAATCATCGATTTTTCTTTGTGATTAGTTGTGCAACTAGGTTAGTTTACCCATTCCTCGGGATATTGTCCTGCTGCATTATGATGAGAATACATTTCAACACATCTATGACCACATCTAAAAGGTGGTTTTTTTGTGGCTTTTCGTGTCTGGCGTAGCATAGGTTCTTTTTGTGGACACCTTAGTTTTAGGGTACACATGTTAAGATTGTATGAAGATGGGTACACTAGAAGACTGACTGACTCATCATCAGAATGCGTACACTAGAAGACTGACTGACTCATCATCAGAATGCATATACTAGAAGACTGACTGACTCATCCAGATCATCATCTTTATGAACGATCTTTAATATGTAATTGAGAAGAGCACTCCGTCCACTTACGCTGACGACACTCAAATCTCTCACGCTGACAATGAACTCTCCAAAGTTGAAGAAACAATTAACAATGATCTTATTGCGCGAAATGGTATGAAGAGGAACAGTTCAAAATACCAGGCGATAGAGCTAGGAAGAAAACAAAGGAACTGATGAGCCAGCGTTCACGTGTGACGAATCACAACTTCCAATATCCCACACAACGGAACTTCTTGGCGCAACAATTGATGACAAATTAAATTTCAAAAAGCATACCGCTAAAAATATGTAGAAAAGTCAGTCAATAGATCGCTGTATCAAAAATGATGCAGAAAATGTTGCCTTTTGAGACCATAAGGGATCTTTAAAAAGCTTTCATTCTACCATACTTTAATTACTGTTCCGAAACGTGACACTTCTGTAATAAGAAGTCCGCTGACAAGTTAGAGATGGTGGACAAACGAGCGCTCAGTTTTGTTTTCAGAGGTAAGTCCTCGCCTCATGAAGACCTTTGTAAGCGTATCGGTCTCTTAAGTCTTCGTGAACAACGATTAACGAAAATATTGTCCATTGTTTTTGAGATATTAGCCAGCGATGCAGGACCTGCAAGCTTACGTGATCTCATAACAGTAAGGCGCTCCACTTACAACCTCAGGAGGAACCACAATACTTTGACCTTCCAGAAGTAAAATCAACCACTTTTGGCTTAAGATAATGGAGATACGCTGCATCGAATTTGTGGAACGCTATACCCGACGAGTCTCGGAAGATTCCAACATACACTGCTTTAAAAAAAAAAACTTAAAAACATTAAATCTCATGAGACTCTGACTGCGGTGTGAGTCGATTCTTAGTCAGTTTTTACCGTTTTTATAATTTTCATATTTATATATTTTTAAATATATATATATATATATAATATTTTGCGCTGTAAATCGACTCTATTTCGTTTCCCAAACCATTCCTTGTAACGTATTAAGTCTACGATTCCTCGCGTAACCTAACACCGCGTAACACAACGCGTGGCGCTTTCATGAATGAATACATACATGTCCGATAATTAATCTTTCGTCTTTCTCGAGATGTGAGCTTGGAACGCCTGCGCTCAAACTCCCTAATTGCAAGCGCAACAACAACCTTAAGAAACCTCACCCCAGCACCTCGGGGTTGTAAGACTGCATGTAAACGCATTTTCATTTTCGACCACGGCTAGGCGGGTTACCTTACCTACCTGGGGTCCTCCATCGGTTTCGCGTTGCGCGTCACGTCATCGGATCACGCGATTTTCTTTGAATGCGCGCTTTGGAACAAAATTAGATTCTAACAAGTGAAACGTAATGGTTGACTGCAACTGAACTCAACAATTTGGTTCAGACTTCTGCTCCGTGTAGGCGGAAATCAGTGTGATATCTGTATTTAACTAAAATTGATGCCCGTTAAGCGACCACCTGGATGCACTGACTACCCGAGACGGTCTCAGCTGTAGCCGGTACTACGTACTCTAATCTTAATCACCCATGACATGATACCATAGGAAAATTTTGCGTCACGACTGAACTAGTGGCTAACAGCCACTGATTGATGGAAGCCACAACTACAATCCATTTATAGCCTGCCACACATGCAACTGAACGTATAAGTTGCCTTTGAGGGATGATAAAAAGAACACCAATGACAAAAGACAGCAAATTCGAAAATTGAGAATGAGAAATTTTCTTTTAATAGGTTTTGGAACATTTTCGACGGAAGTTTCTTTGCAGATTCCGGCGACTCTCGAGTCTCAATGATAAGCATCATTCCGCCATTTTATTTTTTGACTGGGATCTCGATTAGGTCTGCTACTATCAATTTTTGCTTAAGGTTCCTTCATAACCTATCCTCGAATTTGTAGTTAAAATTAATAGTTTTAGGGATCTTCGTTGAAGACAGCAACATCACAACAAGTGGTATACAGAGAGGTCATTACAGTTGTTAGAGATTAATAGACGACAGTCATTCGTAAACGATCAAAATACTGATATAGCATCAGATTTAAGACATCAAAGGGATTTTGGGGAAACCGCGCAGCCAGAGGGATTCCCATATAATCCAAGACGCCAGTCTGCCCTAATATGCAGGTTCTGATGCTGCGGAATTCGAAAGCAATAGCAACCTCTAAAAAAACTGAAAAGCTACAAACAAAGGGTTTTGTGGAGCAGACATAAGAAAAAAGTGACAGAGATAAAACATATTCATACGTCTCTTGTGTTACGACTCGATGAAAAAGTTTGCAATTCAAAAACTAAAGCCGTTGGAGGCTGAAATCTATATATCACAAGCTTATGATATTGCATCTTGCTGCGTTCAAATCGAGACTTACCTGCTAATACGCAAACCAAGGCAAAGAAACAGAACTTTACGTACAGGCAGTCAACAGCCATGGTTTTTAAATCACTGCACAACTCTGGTATCTATACAAG